GCTAAACAGACCCAGCTCACTTAGCCTTTCCTCATAGGGGAGATGCTCCAGGCCCTTCACCATCTTTGTGACACGAAGTTCTTCAAAAAGAACAGACTATTCTGACACAGATCGACACCTGTACAATGTTGTCCTCATTTAAAGTTACTATAAAGAAACAAACATTATTTCAGGAAACAAGGTCAATTTTTTTTTTTTTTTTTTTAATAAGTGTAAGACTTCATTTTCAGATTTTGTAGGACTTCAATATAAACCCAGTCTTCCGGCTTGTTCGACATTTGTTCAGGTTACTCAATTTATGTTGTATCATGAATAACGTTACCTCAGCCTGTGAGAGCTGTTCTTTCAGTTTTTCAACTTCTTCACGTAATTCTCTGATGACCCTAGCATTTGGATCTTCATTCACCACAGCATGATTAACTATCCTTTTGGCTCTGTCTGCATATCTTAGAGTAGATAGTGTTTCTTCATAATTGTCTGCTGCTGGACTAATTGTGGCTATCATCGCAGTTTGGCTGTTTCCTCCCAGATTGTCCTGTAGAGTACAACCACAGAAGTTTAGAGGATTAAAAACTGATCTGAGATTATACTGTGCCTTTACAAACATACTTAAAACACAAATCTCACTATTTGGACACTGATTTACATTCTGGACATAAACTGATCAATATGATCCATAAATATTCTCAACCACCTCCATCAGCTTTAGTCCCAATGTAATTGAAAATACGCCAAGTAGGACTTTACATGCAATTAACAGAGTAAATGCTTATCTCGATATATTACTTGGGATAGCTTGTAGAAATGACCTCCTTTGCTCACTTCTTAAAATAATAATAATAATAAAACTAAATTACAATCTCTTAAGTACACAGAGTTATGCTACAACCTAGTAAGCTAACAGCTTATGAACGTGTTGAACAGAAAATATTAATTACCTTGAGAAGCCAAGTGAGCACAGAGTCTCTGTAAGGCACGAACTTATTCTTCCCTTTCCCTGCTGCTTGATCAGCAAGCGATGATATAACCAACCCAAGGGTTGAAAGGGATCTATAAAGGGGCAACAGCACAAAACAGCTTCGAACACGTACTTTAAAAGTATATTTAATAAAACAGACAGAATGGTTTAATCTGTGCTCTGCAAAATTTCACATCCAGTTTTTAAGATACTATAAAGTAATTTCAGCTGGAAACGACCAAGGGAGATCAAAACAAGGCAATACATCTATAAAATCCAAATATATTTGGAACAAAAAACAGTTATCTACAGTGTTTAGTCTTATCTAGTACTAAGACCAAGTTCCAGGCAAACCAGGTTGAACTATTCAGTTATTGTAGTTTGACAAACGTAAAGCAGACTGCGACAGTATATGGAGAATCTCAGAATGAATCACAGAATGGCCTGGGTTGAAAAGGACCACAATGATCATCTAGTATCAACTCCCCTGCTATGTGCAGGGTTGCCAACCAGCAGACCAGGCCATCCAGAGCCACATCCAGCCTGGCCTTGAATGCCTCCAGGGATGGGGAATCCACAACCTCCTTGGGCAACCTGTTCCAGTGTTTCTCCACTCTCTGAGTGAAAAACTTCCTCCTAAGAATAGCAGCTTTAGATTAGATACCTACCTTTTCTCAGAGATTAAGAATCTTTCCACCTTGGACACTGCCTCATGACACTATTAGGAGTTAGCATTGGCAGAGCAGCAACCTGTCTCTAGGAACAATGTTTCAAGAGCAGTAGTTAAACAGTTGACTAAAACTGAACTATATCCATAAGGAGGCATCTACAAGACAAAGTCAGCTATGGAGCAGGAGAACTAGTCTGGTGAGTTACCTAGTAACTACCCAGCAATTACATGATAGTGGAAGACTGCTTATCAGAAGAGACCAATACCCCTTGACAAAGGAACTGACTTACAATTGAGGTGGTGCCTCACTAGGATCTTTTATGGGGAAGAATAGACTAATCTCCCAATTATAAAAACATTGCATGAATGCAAACGTGAGAACTGAAAAATTCTCCAAACTGCTTGGTACACAAACATCCTATTACTCTAGAATACTGAAGAAACTAAGAGCTTGTTCATTTTGGTACATGTACTACTTCTACCAACAAGTGTTTAACTATTAGCAATCTTCGCATTATATATTAGCAATCTATGCATTATATATTCCAATTATTATACAACCCCGTGTAAATATTAAATGACATTGGGGCAAGTAAGTTTAAGATAATGAGCTGATTCAGGAGCACAAGAGCATTAACCAGATGCCTAAAGGCTAGTAAAAACAGTGAATGTTGGAGCTCAAGAGCATACTGGTCCATCATACTTGTAAAGAGCATCTGGATAACTGAGCATAACTACCAAGGAAACTTGTAGCCTTGTGATTAGATAGTTAAATAAAACTTTGCACTGTTCCACTCCATCCTTTTGAGTTTCTTCAAACTACTAGCACCTTAATTGTAACATGGTCTTAATGCTTTTTGAAAATCCTAGTGATTCTTAATTCATTCATTTAGTGAACGACAAAAACATTGCAGAATATTTCAAAGAAGATAAGTGAGGGTAAGGTGACACGATCTGTTACAAAAGTCACAAAAGATGTGCATAACACCAGCAAACAAAGTGGCATGAAGATAGTATAGACCTGAAAGCAAAACTAAAATGAAAAGAACCTTAAGGAGCACCTAAATTTGTCTAAAGGACAACTTTCCAACCCACATCTGAAAAATTCACAGCAAAAAGAACAGTTAATTTAAGGTTTTGTTGTTTGTTTGTTTGTTTGTTTGCCCAAACAAAAGCCTAACAACTCCTGAAAGCCTGCGGGAGGAGGATGGGGGAGGGAGAATTGCTTCTTGTCTCCAATCTTTCATTTGCACAGACTGGGAAGACAGCATGCTAAACATGAGAGAACAAACAGTAGGATGCTGTATGCTACTCCGTAGCAATCTCCTACAGCGTAAGTGAAAAAGCACCAGCAGCACACTCCCAGTGGAGTTCACCTTCAAGGATTATAAAGTTAGAAGACAAAACAACAAAACCCACACACTTGGACTTCAGTTACTTCAATTCCTCTTACTGATTTTAAATGAGAAAAAATGTGAAAATCAAAGCCAAAAACCGAGGGAGGGGGAAGAATATTTTTTTTCCTTAAAGAAATCGAGGTGGGGATAGGAAAAACAACCTAGAAAGGCCAACCATTGATAATTATTTCACAACAGGGCTGCAACTTTAAGTCTTAGTTATAGGCACTGTATTGTAGTAAATAGCAAGTTATAGGCACTGTATTGTAGTAAATAGCAAGTTATAAGCTAGTTTATTAACACCAGATTAAAGAAAGTAATAATGTTTCTGCTCCAGAAATATTATTAATATTATATATAACAAAATACCATTTTTGTATTAAGACTATTAACATCTGTATTAACAACCAAACTGGTGTCCTTTGAGTATTCTACTTAAGATTTCATAATACAAAGCTGTTAAAAGATTCTAAGGAAAATACTAAAAGAAATGGCAGTGCAATATAATTACAGGACTTAGTAGCTGCTTTGCTTTATGCTGGATGATGCATCAGAGATCTGTCATTACTTTGATCCTATCTCAAACCACCTACATAATGAGTCAACCAAAAGGCCTGAGCCAACAGTGCACAACAGACTGAGGCAGTTCAGAAGAAACAGAGCTTACATGGTGCAAGACCATGGGAACGTGCTGTTTCTGCATGCTTTCTGTTCTCCTTGACCTCTTCATCAAGCGTGAACAGGCTGTCTTTGCTACTGTGCATCTGGAAGCTTGCACTCTCCAGCAAGGGCCTGAGTCAGCAGCACCCAAGGGCAGGTGGTTCTCTTCTGCAGGGAAGAACTCTGTCCCTAAATGACATCCATTTAAGCTACTTCTGTACACTTTTCTTCTAATTTTTTTTTTAGCAGACGAAGTCCTTCTTTCTAATAATAGAACCCTTTGAATATGAAGACGCTCCTCTTAAAAGAGCTAGAAGCCAGTCTTCTCCCAAAACATTCCCTCCCACCCCATCTTTACCCTTTAAAAAACTTATTTTTGCATTCTCAAGTTAAAATGACAATAGCTACCATTTTTCTAATCACAGTTAAAATTACAGGCTGCTCATAGAATGTATTCTTCTTACCCACTAACTGACAGCTTGCTTACTCCATTTCCTCCTGCTGTTGTACTCTAGAAATTCTTCTACTATACCACAGATTATTAAACATCTGCATTTCTACACTCAGTATAGGAACTAGAGCACCCTAGGCATTAACAAGCACACACAGCTTTCTTATGAGTTTGGAAAGTCTCATAAGAACCAGGAAAATAAAGACAGCAGACACCCAGAAACACCGTCATGACCCAAGGCAACTTCACACCAGTGCTGAGAAAAAATGAAAGTTCTTTATTACAGCTTTACAAAACTATTAACAAGATCACGCAACTCTCAGCTGTTTCAGTAAGCAATTCAGCACATCCACCCTGTATTGGATCATGCTGACCCAATATATGAAAGTTTACAGTACAGGAAGCTGTGAGACTGAAGCAGCACTGACCATAGCCCTAAGCTGGTTTCATGCAGAAACAGCAGAGAAATCTGCAGAGACTACCAAACTATGGAGTTTTGGAAGCACAGCAAGAGTACATTCTTCTTGTCTTGTAAATACAAAAGCAGTTATGTTATTTGCCTGTTCTTCAAGGCACCAAAACATTGAACAAGCAGGAAATTTAACTGCCAGGTAGGTCTGTTTTTATCTGAATAAACAGTTTATGCTACCAATGCAAATTACTGCTATTTCATGAAAGAATAAAAATTTTTAAAAAATTGAAGGTGACATAGCAAGGTACATGGTTTAAGTAATCCATATTACTACAGAAAGATTACTGCCTTTCCCTAGTAAGCATGGTACGTTGTACACATTATCAGAAAGAAGATTGTATACAATGTTCTGTGAAGAACTACTCTGACAAAAACGTGCATACCCATTCCGAAGCTTCCAGTGAAGATAGAGTTCATTAAACTCTAAGTAACAACAAAAGTCCAATAGATACTAAAGCACAACACTACGAATTGTTTGCCTATCAGTTCCAAATGAGATTTCACACAGAGAATGCTTAAAAAATGGTCTGAGGTAATTGAGGTTTATAATATATAAGAACTGATGCAAAAAGATTGAGCTGTCAGCTTTTCTTTTTGAAATGTCTTTTACAGAGAAATCTGGTTCTTGCATCTGAAGTCCTGTACCATTAAAAAGAAATGGCAAAAATAACCTTCCCTTTTTACACTGAGCAAACATTTTGCTAGAAAAGAAAATGAAATCTTTCTGTATCTTAAGCAACACTTTCAATTTCTTAATAGCTATTGGGAGAATTGGCATTTGAATTTTTCCCCAAGAGTTAAAAAGAAACATTTAATTTCACCCTTATTTATGCAAAAGGTAAATACAGTTGCTAGCAAAATCAAACCAAATTTAACTGGTAACCTGCAGGGTAAAGGTTCACTACTTGCCATTAGAGAAACAGAGTCATATAATTTTCATTCATGAGGACTATGTCAGTGCACCTACCAATCTGATGCATTAAACTCATAATACATTAGAGATTATGTGTGAAGAGCAAGCGTGTTCAAACTATTAAAGCAGGTAACTTAAAATCATTTTAAGTATGAATGCAGTTCAAACATGTTTTTTGCTCTCACTGTTAACTTCAGAATAACATAACCTTTTGCAACATTTTAAAATTAAGTACAGAATTTGTAGCTTTTAATATTAAGAGTGATTTTTTTTCCCAGGAAAATTAGTATGTGTAAGACAATGGTAATATTGTGCTGAAGTCTTGCTTTTGGGCAACAACACAGTAATTACAGTTAAAAAGAGTGCCTGGAAACTTGTCATCGCTTGAATACAGATGCCCAAGGCAATGTTAAACTTACATAGTTTCATTCTGATCTGGTTTTCTTAAACTGTGAATTATACTCTTACACAGTTTAAGTACCTGTTGGAACAAAGCCATTCAACTCTGCAACTTTGCATTCCTTGAGCATACGATGAGACAAACACATGAGCCTGGGGACAGGGTGGATAAATGAATCACAAAAGGTACATCCGTAATTAAAGAGTGCTACCGTCACTTTTTCCAGATAATATTCATACAGCTATCATCTGAGTCAAGTATGAATCAAAGTCTCTATACTACTGTAAAAAAAAAAAAAACACCAAACAAATAGTATTCAGTACAGAGCAACTGAAAGAGATGTATTAACTGCTTGTGACAATATGCAACATTTGAACCAACTTGTAACAAGCACACCAAGACAGGAGACTGAGGAAGCAATGGTTGCTCTTAAAATACTATGCTTTACAACCTATGTCAGTGTCTTACTTGTTTATGTTGCTGCCTTCCTTCAGACGTTCTCCTGCAGCTCCTGTTTTGGACACTCTCTCACTACCAGCTAAATCCACCAGGCTGACTTTGCTGACCTTCTCTCCAGAATTCTGTGCAGATCAAATATGGGAGAAAAACAAGATTCATGAGCATAAAATGCTCACATATCTTAAATTAGCACCATTAAAGACTGCTTTCTGTAATAATAATGCAAGCTGAAGCGTAAAATTCAAGATAAGAGAGAACAAATTCTCACAGTCTTTACAGCCTGTTAAGAGTCAGTCATACACTTTATACTAAAAGGGCTGAATCACTAATGAAGGCAAAGAGGCCGTGCGTTAACATCAAAAACAGCAGGCCATTAAAATATATTAATGTCAGCAACTGTTAACACCTAAGACAGATTTAACAGAGGCAATATAATCTTAAAGTCATCTAATTTTTTGTTTTCTCTGGCATGCTTCCTCTCTTTTCTGGTGTTCTCTCAACCGTAGGTTCTTGCCAATATTACTTTGATTACTGCAGAGCATTAAAAGTAGCAGCATAGCTAAGAAAATTGTGTATGTGTAGCAAACAAAAAAGTCTGGTGAGTTATGCTAAAGTCTTGACTGAAAAGATGGAACAAATCAATGAAGAGATACTATAATATCACTTAGCATAGCAACTCTGAAATACAAGAGCACTTCAGCAAGTTGAGAGCTGAGGCAGCTTCAGTTTTAAAATGGTAAGCCATTTGTCTCTTCAGAGTTTTAGGTCATGTTAAGTGATACTACTGATGCATCTACAAATGCACGCAAAGAACACAAGCTGCTTGTTTTAACTGATCGTTATTCAAAACAAACAGTGGTTGAACAGAATAAAGAAGAATTTACCACAACTTCATAAATTAAACCATCAGAAATACTTACACCAGACTGTAGGTCATAAAGTGTCTGAGTCACTATAATGTTGAATACAGCATGAGAGCGGCTGCTTTCTTCATTCATGTTGGTTGCAGCAACTGTTCGTGATTTGTTTCCCTCTGACATCAGTGACTCAATATCCTAGAGCATAAAAAATAAAAAGTGATGCCAGGATGAAAGCAAGTTTTGTGCTTGCTGAACAAAATCCCTGACTAGATGGAAGAGTGTGCATTTCTGAAGAGAGAGGAGAATGTAGAATTAAAGAGAAAACTCTTTTTACATTTTGATATCAGAGAATCACAGAATGGTTTGGATTGGAAAGGATCTTAAAGACCATCCAGTTTGAAGCCACTTGCTGTGGCTGGGGTGGCCACCCATTAGGTCAGGCTGCTCAAGGTTCCAAACAACCTTGCCTTGAGGGCCTCCAAGATTGTATTGGCAGAGAGGAGATCTAATTTTGCAGAATAATGTTAAATCATAACTTTGCTTTAAGCAATGCACCAAAAGCCCAGCAACAATATTCAGTGCACATATTCCTTATCTGTTGCTGAAATATGTTGGCAATACCCACATTACAAATCATATTGTGTAATGCCAGTAATCAGGCAAACACAGATCTACTTACAGAAGTAAACAATGCTTTTTTTTTTTTTTCCTGAACTGCATTAATGCCATTCTCTCTGAATTGGCTCCAAGTGTCGCCCCACTTGGAGCCTGTACCTTTCTACTCAAGTGAAAAACAAGATGATTCTCATAGATGTGCTTGCTGAGTATCCAAGTCAGTTTCATAAGTTATCAGCCAAAAATTAGGTATGAACAAAATTTTCTAAAATTCAAGCAAATAAGATGTGCTGTCAAAGTATGCAATTTACCACAAAAGCTGCAAAATCGGTTTTTACACTAGATAATGTGACAGGTGCTTCAGAGAAACAAATATTCCCAATAAATGAGAAATGTTTTTCACACAACACTGTATAAAAAATGATTTTTTAATAAACCAACCCAAAACAAAGCAAAAAAGCACAACAAAAGAAAACCCAAATACATTTCCTAAAACAGCTTCCTTGTAAAAAGGGCTAAGCAATTCATAGAACTGCATCATTGCAATTCCACTGTAGCTACAGAAGTTAATTGGATTCTACAAAACTGATATTTTGAATGCATTTTAGTAACTCAGCTGGGCTCAGATGCTGTCATTATTTAAATTATCAGCTATATAAACCATGTTATGCATTCTCATGCAATATAATTCTATAAAGTAAGAGGGTGTATTCGATAACAAAAGCAAAAGAATCACACTGAAAGACCTAATTTTCTTAGTGTGGAAGCCTCAGATTTCAAGAAAACATGTCAAGAAAATGTGATGTGCTTGGTATTTATTACATAAATGGGAACCTGCAAAATAAAGTGATATTACTGCTATATTTTTAACCAACACAGAAGTGAAATGAAAGATTTACATGAAATAAATATCCCTGGAAGCACTAGAGGAGGTACCTGTGATTGTCAGAGGCTGAAAACACCTAGGAAAACAAAACTTCTGGGCAGATATTAGTTTATCTACAATATGATTCCTATCACTTAGGTATACAGATGCTATTTCCAAATCTTTGATAGGTTTAGATTTACCTCAAAGTTCGTCACAGCCAGCTGAGACAAGCCATCTACGTATGGTCCCAACACTTTGTGCTCTCGAACCTTAAGAGACTGCCGACTCCTATGGAATAAATAGCCTTTATGCACAGACCACTACTGTGAACTTCATTTCAATTGAAAGACATGAATTAACACCTACAATACACAAGATTTTTATCATTTCATAGTATGTAGTTTTTTTTGTTTTTCAAGCAATAATGGGAATAAAAATACCAATCTAATAGGTGTCAAGCAGAACACATGAATTACTTTCAGAGCATCATTCTACCACAGTATTTGTGGCTGTAGAAAACCTGAAATGCTTCATTTGGAAGAAAGAATACTGACAGAGAAGGAAACAAAAAATCTCTCCCAACAATTTGCTGAAGATTCATTTCTCCACGCATTTTCCAAGTTTTACTGAAATATGTCAATGAAGTCTAAAATACTTTTAATTAATTTGCACGCTTCTTCATCTTTATGCTCAAGAATCAAAAAGTAAGACACACATATCAGACATCTTGTCTGATCTCTTGTCTTGACATCTCCATGTTAGAGAACCTAAGCAGTACTTTTGAGTCAACAAAACAGAAGGAATTAGGATGCCAAGAGTATATTTGGAGGTGTTATTCCTTCCCATTCAAGAACTGCAAATTCCAAACCAGAAAAATCAAATTGTAAATAAACTTCACACTCTTTGTAACTGATGAAAATTTATACTTGAGCAAAGTCTGGTTCGTATGGCAAATATACCCCAGCATTTTCTTCTACATAGCTTTGATTTTGATTACAGTACTTCACTTTGCAACATTATACTATTATATTATATATTTAAATTGATCCACACAAAGTAGTATTTCATATACAAACTTTACACTGATATTCTGATGTTTGGTACCTGATCCTTTGTAAAAAAGATATATAAACATACATTATGAAAAACCTCAAGGACTTCCAGAATTCATTTCTACTTAATAGTTTCAAACAAAAGCAATTAAGGTGGAGAGAAAGGGCAAAGCTACTCACCCTTTTGGGTCAAGTAGATCTCTGACTTTCTCATTGTAGATTTCCATATAGGACACTTCAACTTTAAAAGTATGAGATTCATTTTCTTCCACAGAGATTCTCTGAAATAAAGCACAACAGAGCCGTGGGATCAGACCCAGCTGCTCTGCATTACCCATCATTGAAAAGGATTTTCCTGAACCTAAGGGAAGAAAGGAGAAGAAAATGCTTTAGAATGTGGTTTCTGAGTTACTCATTTGTTCATGAAACATGTTTTAATTTCTCCAGATGCATGTATCAGAGCAACAGGACATGTTATTCTAGACAGAAGGCTCGCTTTTTGCATTACAACAAACGGAAACAAAAAGAGAAATCTTAACAGTCCCTTTTAGTAGAGCCATTACTTGGCCTCCCTTTTAACACACAGACACAAAAGACTGAATGAACCTTGGTTGCTAACCTCTCCTTTCACACTTTCAAAGCAGCCTCAAGAGGTAGCAGTGAGGAGCATATTTACAGACCCATGTTAAGAACTTTATACTGCCAATGGCTGTACTGAAGTTACTTGTGTTTAAATGGGAAACCAACCTCCAAAGGTTTCCAAATACAAATCAGTTTTTAACATTAAACTTTGTTTCTATTTATGATTTTAAATATTATCAAGCTTAATATTTATATTGTGCTCTTCCTACTTCACACACATGCGCAAGAAATATTCTCTTCCTTCAGCACAAGCAGCACTTACCTGTCTGTCCATAGGCAAAAATACAAGCATTATATCCCTGAAAGGCCTTCTCAAGAATTCCTTCTCCAAGGCACTTGAACACCACCTCCTGACCTACAAAATAATTATAAGTTTATTTTAAGTGAAGTAACAATGAACTTTAACAATAACAAGAAAAGTTTTTGGAGATTATTTTTACTAATGGGTGCACTAAGGATCAAATGATTTTATGTATAACTGAGTGAATGAAACTCAGTGCAACAGCTACCTCTGTGTGTTTAAACATAGTGCTTGTTTTCCTGTGAAAGAAGTGGATTCAAATGAATTACATAAATTGAATGCTTAGAGAATAATGAAGACAATCTAAATTCTGTATTATTTAATTGCAAACTTTGCAGTCTGTATGCATTCTAATGCATAATAAACTAATTCATAATAATAAACTTTACCCAAGAGTCCAGCAACAGAATTGCAATGAACACATTAGCGAACTAGAATATTAGGCATACAACAAACATAACGGTAGAAATAGCTGTTCTCTTAGGAGCTAGCCTCTGATTTCAGTATAACCCATTCTTATTTACTCCATGTTAAGGCAATGCTGGAAGTAAGACAGAGCATTCTGAAGACATCGAAGCAGGAACTGTACATTATGAGTGAGAGACTTAAGCAGAGCTGTCTGTGGATATATACTGGCAAATCTAGAGTTGAAACATCAGCTACAGCATTTCATATTCTGAGAAGTCATCTTTCTAAGCCAGGCAGATTTCAGATGTGCTTCAATCTTTTAGATGCAGGAGATAAAAGAGAAAGAGCATTTCTTTTGTTTGTGGTGGTGCTTTATACGCTTTTCTCTTTTGTTTTAAAAAGTAATGCTCAGAATTTATACACCACAAACATGGTCAGTGGGTAGGTTGTCTGTTGAGTTCTGGTTTGAGAAATGAACCACTTGCATACACATCAAAAAGAGGAGTTGAGATAAGGAAAGCATTTACATATCTTCTGGTGTTTGATTTTAAACTTATATACGCTGCCTGATGATATTCTGAGCAGTGAAGTCACCTATCTCAGCTCATTTAATTTCAGCAGATGTCATTTTTCCAGTTGGAAGCAATTGTACAATGCATGCAATAGGACTTGTTTAGCTCTCAAAATAGAACATCAATAAACACCTAGCTGCACATTTATATGTCGCCTGAGAATATTAACTTTGTGATACTTGAGTAAATGGTAGACCACTGAACACCTGTAGTACAATCCATGGAATGCCTGTTTGTAGAATGGCTCTCACGTATGCAAGACTAAAAATCTCTATTACTTCTATTTAACTTTAGCCTAATTTTTCTTTTGCCATAAAGGAAAACTATGGCAGTGATGTCAGGCCCCTGTGTATATTTTCCAATTGTATTTCTGGAGATACAGAAATATATATGGAGATACCAAAAGATCATTAGTACTGCTTCTTGGATTAACACAGTTCAGACTAACTTTCCAAAAAAAAAAAACTTTTGAATACAGGAATAAAAAACAGAGAAAAGCCTGCTGTACTACATAACAATTCCATTTCCTTTCCTTGGATATTCATTCACTTATGATCTTTCAATCATTTCATGATACCTATGTTGAGACAGCACTGTTCAAAACCAGCGTTCCTGGAAACAGCTGTAGAGAATGCTAACGAACTACTGAAGAATGCATGAAGAAAACTTATCAGTGCAAGTGTTTAATAAGAATGTACAATACACAAAAATTTGCTTTCCAACTCTTGAAGGCATATTTTGAAGTCATCAAATCAAAGATGCAAGGAGCTGCTTACTATATTGCTGATCAAGAGTGTAAAAATCAAGTAAAGATTGAAGCTGAGTAAAATCATTTAGAGAAAAAAAATGATTGTGAGCAAAGAACAAAACCACTCGTCAGAAGAGGAAAAAATCTTTATTGCCCATTTCTGACTAGCAATAAATTACAACATCCATGTTTCCTAAGAAAAAAACAGATACCAGAATATTACAAAACTAACCATAGTCACGATAATCATGAGATGACCTACAGAATTTCTTATGGCAAGAGGAAGAAGGCAGATCAAATTGCACAGACAAGATGGGATTTTTTTTTTTCCAAAAAGGTTTCTATAAGCTCAGCAATCCAGACACTGACAAGCAGGCCATTCAAGAATGATGTTCAGAGCAAACAGTTGAGCTACCATAAGATTAAAAAAAAATAAAATTAAAAAATGGTTCTAAATGAAAGAACACAGAAAAGAACAGAAGAATTTAATTTTCAATTACAAGTATTGTATTATTTTTCTAATGCAGTGGTGGTGCTCCTGAGGGCAGGAGCATGTCACCCATGAGATGATACGGTCCTGGAGATAATTTCATCATGCAACATAATATCTTCCCCCATGCATTTTATTAGTAGGTTCTGCAAATTGATTACAAAATTTATGGTATACAGAATTATGTCTAAGTGCACCTAAGGTAAAAATAAAATAAAATAAAATGCAGTTTTGTTGTCTATACTACCACACTGTGGTTTTGCTAAACAATCTTACATGTCCTGCAATTAAGACTTCTGCTTATTTACAGGACTTTTCTTCCACAGATGCCTCGTGCTTAAAGAACAGAGAAGGGGTTTAACTCAATTCTGATTTAATTTTGCAGTATAGAAGACCTCTTTTCGTTCCACCACTATTTAATTTCCAGAAAAATGTCCCTTAAACCGACTTGTCACATCTTTTAGACAGGGATGCCCAATCTTCCAGCTGGATAAGACCATATACTCTCCTAAGCTGGCAACTGAGGCCTGACATTGAAACCCCTTGTTCCTTCTCCCATCTTCTGATCAAAATGTGGGCAAATAATAGATGTTTGACGTACACATGCCACCAGGCAGAGGAAAGCACACCCAAGGCTTTCTGGGGGTGAGTACTGAGCTGCCAGCCTTCACGGGGCAGATTCTCCTGTCTCCTCTTCCCTTAGGGGGAAGGAGAGCACAGTTTGGTGAGCTCTGCATGCATACTATTGTCTAAATAATCTCATTTGAAGACCAAATGCTTCCTCTACTTTAAGGAGCAAAACAGTTAAGGTGGAAGCATATTGCAAGAAAAAAGTTTCAGACAACACTGCAGTATGATGTAAATGCTCACAACACATTCAGCAGAAATCCTATTAACATCCTTCCAGGGATGTGTTGCTAATCAAAACCTGATAAACATCGGTGGATGCCAACTCAGTCCTGAAGATGTACCAGAAAACAACATCAAGACAATATGGAAACCTTCTTTCCTTTCAGCAGACAGCTCTAACTGCCTTCACAGCTCCAAGACATTATCTGTACCTTCTGACAAGTGCAACTAACAAGCCTGATGCCAAAGCAGAAAAGCATCCACGAAAAATCAAAGGAGTCTCTAGGATGCCACTTCCCTCAGGAGGCCAACCCAAGAACCTTTTCATCAGACACAGTGCTGCCACCCACTGACAGTGTCCCACAGACACTGAAAGGGAGACTATCAACATTCCCTCCTTAGCACTAGCAGTACGAAAGCTTGGAAAGATTTCAACAGTCTAGATAGTATCTGAGACTTATCTGACAGCTACAGGAAACTCATCTTCTTCCCAGAACTACATTTTAACATACTTAATTCTTGGAACTTTCCAGTGCTGGCTGTGTGCTATTATCACACACCATAGGCATTTAAGGATGTGCCACTGAAGCTAAGAAATTTTTTCATGTGCTCTTTACCTACTGAAATGACTGGGTATTTAGAGGCAAAATTATAAAACAAAGTAAAAACAGCAAAGTAAGCCAGTGTGCATATTATTAATGGCTATTAAATTACTAATAATTTTAAAAGAAAACCTTGATGTTATCTGCATATGAAAATCTCTTAGCTAGAATCTTGGAGTGAACACAAAGTATTAGAAAAATTAAATTACTAAAATACGTAAGATAAAAAGATCCTGAAAACAGAATAATCAACACTCTGAAATGCAAGACTACAACAGTACACCATTTTCAGAATGAGATATCCAAGTACTTTCTGTCTTATATCTTTATGTTGCACCCTATTCCTTCAGATCAAACCCATTCAGTTCTCTGAAGCCCAGACTGGAAGATTCAACCTGACAGACAGCTTTCGTAGGGAAAATTACACATTGCTGAAGAACCCTATGACATGCTCGTGCAATCTGCAGAATGAAGCCAATGACTTTTAAAATTAAGTTTGTATATTCCCAGATCACTAGACTGGTGACTAGTAACCAGATATAAAAAGAGGAAAGGAAAGAAAAGAGAGGGTGAGTAATAGAGAGACTACTCTTTCCAATTAAATTACCTTTAAAGTAAACACCATTAATATTTATAGCCTTCCACAAGGTCCTCTCATTTACTGATAAACTTACAGTCAACAGGTACTGAAACAAAGATTCGTTTTGGTGCTTGGTTTTTAGATATCCAGTATTTCCAGTAATCAGCAACTTGTCAATATAAAATACAGATAACAGTTTTGAGCCTCTCCATATGTTAGCATGGATTTGCTCAGCGAGGTCCTGACTGCAGTTAGGACATCTAACTGCTGTTCTCTAATATGAAAAAAATAACCCAAACCAAATGATTTCTAATGAACAACACTGAAAATTCAAGCTGGTCATGTCTTTCTATGGCTTAACCTCTAACAGTGAATGTTTTAATACATAATTGCAGTTAGTTCCAAGATCTAGCAGTTAAAATAAAAGTTGATTTCAATGATTAGAATTATTAAAAGCTGTGCTGGATAACAGTTTTAGAAGAAATTCTTTAAATTGGGGGAAAAAAAGTCTATGGTCCATCTTAATAAAAAACCTACAAGCAGAACAGCTGGTCTAGTCTAACTTCTGTAGCTCAACATGACAGTATTGACAAAGCCCTGAGGTCTTTGTGTTGAAAGCCCTGTTCCACTAAAAGGTCTGGAGTGCTTACAATTAAGCATTACAATGCCTATACTTTAACCATGTTTAATTTAAATACTCCTAAAGCCATATTGAGAAAATAGGTTCTCCAAAAACGTACTGGTCAGACATCAATTGCACCACCTAAAATTAAGTCCTACATGCTAAGTAGACTCCTTAAAAAAAAAAAAAAAAAGAAAGAAAGAAATCAATGGAACAGTTGGAAAGGGTTGGGTTTCAAATATATTTTTACACCGGGTAAGCCAGAAGTACAAACGGACAGACACTTCTGTCTGTCCCAAATCCACAACATAAAACCACTCATGAGGGTGGGAGACTACAATTGTTCAAGACAACTGGGTGGTTTGTTTCTTTTTAAAACAGCTGCTGGAAGAGCAGGAATCAGCGTGCCTACTTCACACAAAATTAAAGCTTAGCCTAATATCAGGTATTTCATTTCTCAGGATAAAGTAGCAGAAACAGATCTGAGATTTCAGGTCAAATGCGACACAGTTTAGGAGTTTAAGGAATGTCCACAGACAAGAAGATACAAAGTGGGGAGAGGGGTTACTGAAGTTATTTACACCATGTCTTGAATCTTTCCCAAGGTGAAGGGTTTCTTTCCTTCCTTTCAAATATGTACCTCATTGCAGACTTCAATAGGCTCTTACTGCTGTCCAGGCTTGCAAAAATAACTCCCTTCACCAAAATGTCTTATTTGTCTCTATGAGCTTTTCAAGGCAAGTAGGTATGTTCGTGTTGACTTGACCATTCAAGTCAAGAAACAAAGACTAATAAGCAGCTACTTTTCCTTATTCTCAACATCTATTTCATACAGGCTGTCAGGCAGAGCTTATCCCTTGTCCAGATCAAGTAAAACTCATTTTGCCCTAAAGCCAAATCCCCTTCCTTTCTCATAATCTATTTCATTAACACATTTCTATTTTTTTTTTTCCTTTCAGGTAAGAGGTTCACACACTTGAAAAATTCCAACTATGCCTTTTATCATTAAATCAGCAATGTAAAAAGCCCAGTAAGTAGCCTGTGGTGGTCAGTATAAACCCAGTTTTGTAATTATTCTTCACATGGAGTGATATATCTATTTAATTGCTTTGAAGCACACATTATCAGTAATAGGAGTAATCCTCCCACTATGCTAATTGATTGAGTTTAAAAAAATACAGGTATAAAAAAACAACACAAAAACCAGACACATTTCAATGTGTACTAGATTGCACACGCTTTGTTTTCAGTCTGAAGGAAAAATCTAAGGATAGTCATAAAAGAATGTCACAGAGAAGAGAAAGTTCCAGACAAAGCTGCAGCATGAGACAGAAAAAAGAAGCTTCAGTGAAAGGTGAAGAAGGTTCTGCTTCTCACAATATCCAAACCAGGATATCAAGTTGTTACAGAGCCTCTATCTCTTGCAGTATGTGAAACTGAAGTACCACCTCTTCACTGCTTCAGACACCTCACTGTCTTCATGAGAGAGACAGTCCTGCAAGGACAGCTGCAAAGATGTCCTCTGTAAATATTTTTTCTCATGTGAAAGTAATCCTTACTACTTATGTCAGTGATATTGCTGGGTCATTTTAGAATTGCAATGTAACAATGCCCATGTTTTTAAACACTGGAAATAGAAGTTGACTTTCATACATGAGCAAGATCCCTCATATGTCCCAAGCATGAGTTCCCAAATAAAGTCAGTACATACAGAATAAGCCTTACCCCCAAACAAAAAGGTGCAGATATCCAAGGATGAGTTTTTAGTGTAAGAGAAAAAGATGACTGATCCCATTGCAGGTTCAGCCCTGATCTCCTAGGGCCTGAGAAACATTACCAATTGCCCACAGTGTTAAGTCTACCCAAACAAGAATCTTCCTCTTGCACAAACAATATTACTAAGTACAGGTAATGTTGCAGATCAATCAGCAAAGTAAAAAATAAATAAATAAAAGCAGCCCAGCATAATAGCTTTAAATATCCTGTAAGAAATGTGCATTCCCAGGAAAGTACACGTTTTGGTTTTGTTGACAGGAAAAAAGCACAAAAGGTACCTACAAATAATTCCAACACACGTTGTCCATGGTACACACCACTGTGGGAGGGGGTTGGCTTCGTATCACACATGGTGAATCTATCAAATTTTTCATATAGAACATATACAGCAATATCTACAATCTACTGCAGGGTGAGTACAGTTCAGTTTTGCACAGTAAGGAATGACTGACTGTGGCTCACACTTGAGAATCTCTTTTACAAACTGTCACATCTTCCACTGTATTTCTGTCATTTAGATTAAAGGGGTCTTCCAGTTACTAAATCTGTCTCACATATCTTTTTGCTTCAAGAATTTTACTTAAGCTTGAAGCTCATACACTACTCACATATAAAAGTGAGTATTTAAAGCTATATCAAGCTTTAAATATATTTATTTTTAATTATGTAACTAATCACTGCTCTTGTCACTCACAGTAAACTCATGCACCCACACAGAACTACATCAGAGCAGGAAGCATCTAACACATCTGCCCAGATTCCAGATCACCTTCCCTGCTGTGGTCTAGTATTCAGTCATGAAACTACAGTTTCTACAGCTCTAAAAGTCGGGTTGCCAGGTGGCTTATGTGGAGTGCTGAGCTTGTTAGTTCTGTAACAGTCTCTAGTATAATACCTGGATATAGGGAGCATGTGTATTTATGAACTGCCTAGAACAATGCCATTTAGTTCCATAAGAATAGCCAGAGGGATTACTGAAAAACCCAGTCAAAGCCAGTAATTGCATTTCTTTAGGCCAAACTCTGAAAGAGACTTCAGGTAGTTTCATACTATGGCTATATAAAAGCCAACATCTTACCACTTCAGCATTTGGTTTTCTGTTCTAGAACAAGAAGCATTACTGTAGAATAGGACAGTATCAGTTCGTGCAAGAATAAGTGAGCAAAAACAACAAACCAGTAACTGAAACAGATTTATATATATATATATATATTTTAATATTCTATCAAATTCGTTATGTTCTAGAATGTGAGGGCTGGAAGACACAAGACCACATGAAAATAGAGAAAATTAATTGTTTTAGATCTTCTTTTCATATGCAGTCTAAAGCTCATGGTCTTACAATATTTCTGAGATTAAACAAAAGAGGAAAATTGTTTCTTTTATCAGACAAATATTATCTGGAAGAGCAAAAACAGATCTTACAACTTCACGGATGGTGAGAAATTACAGAAGATGTAGCAGCATTCTGGAGTCCAGACTGAGAAAGGGTTAATCTATCATTTACACAGCGAAGCTTCAGTTCTAAGTCAGAAAGAATTTGATCACAACTTTTCAAAGAGGTTATAGAAATCTAGTTTTCATTCAAATTAAAAATAAGTTAACGTGGAATCTCAATGAATTCACCTGGAGATAGATTAAACTAAGGTAGGAACAGGTTTAACTGGTTAAAGGTGTTCCTCTGGTCTCTATCTTCTCTAAAAGTGGGTTAGCCTCACAATGCACCCAATACGTGCAGCTCTCAACTGCACACTTGAGGCACATCAAGGCAACATCTGGCTTTGCATCATAACCCTGTTCCTTTAAGAGGAAGTCTAGCTGTGCAGACACAAAAGGAGCTGTTGTGTGCTCCAGGGAATTTACCAGTTTGAACTATGAGTCCAGTGCACTGTATCTGTTCAGTGCAAACACAGACACTGAAAGTCAAAACAAAACAAAATTATTTTCCTGAGGAAATCTACAATGCTGACACAAGCAAGGAATATAGTAGATCAAGTGCATTTCCTGTGATTCAGGATTTGACTCAAGTCAGAGATACATTCTAACGAGCACTCAAACTTCAAGATTTCCTTCAGACCATAACATTTCTTTATGTGAATACCTTAACCAAAAACTGTTGGTTTTTTTTTTTTCCTCTTTTCCATAGACCACAGCCTTGAAATCCTGGCATACAGAGCTGTAACAATCAAGATTTTCTTTAAAAATATTAATGTTAATGCATTAATTGAGTTGTAAGAAAGTTAAGCCCCGGGATGATGATCTAATTTAGAATGTCAGCTTTTGGAGGAAGGCATCACAAAGCTGATCACTCAAAAATGTCAGGAATCTGAACAATCAGATGAATGACTGGAAAGATGTGAAATAATCACACCATTCGAGAAAAACAGGCACAAGAATTAAAAGAACAGAAAACATACTTTCATCACTAGCTCCAGCATTAATTTCTGAACCTTAGGTGACAGAAAGAAACTTAAGAAGAGGCTCTTCTGGGGGAAGGGATAAGCACTATAGATTGCATGTAAAGAAAAGTATTCCTGCCCCAAGCAATACACTGGGCATCCTAAAGCTCATGTTCCTTCGTAACCAGTAACCTAGCACTCTAAACCCCTGTTAAAAAAAAAGTCTGCTTTTGTGAAGAAGTCCCTTAAGCATCACCATATAAAACATTAAAAAAAATACATCCACAATAGTCAAAGCTTTCACATGTTTTCAAATTATTTACACTGTTGAATGCACATAAAATAGCTTACCTGCATATTTTGTAGTGTTTGATTCATCCATGGACCAGAAGCAGTGATCAAAGGCAAACACCTGTAAAAAGCACATAAAAGGAAAATGAGGAACTCAAGCTACAGAGCATCTCTTAAAGTTTATATAAATCAACAGTTGCTTAACTGCAGACAGGCTCTACTCTTTCTACAGATCCTAAATCAGAATTGGAAAAGGCTTCAGCAATGGGAATACTTTTTGGAAATCTTAAGCACTGAAGAGCTGCAATACTTTTTCTGTCTGTACACTACAAGTCCACACTACAAAACACTGCTTAAAAAGGTGCATTATAATTGAACCAACGTATTAAACTGTTTTAAAAATTGGACACTTGAGTCAGTTAAAAAGAAATGTCCACTGTTCACAAAGCCTTGAAAAAGAGGAAAGAGTGATGAGGAATAGACAGGTGTAGTAGAGTCCCTGTGTAAATGTAAATTGCCTTCATTCTGATTCAAATTTCCATTGCTGAAACTGAAACTGCAAATGCCAGCTCTGTGTAGGTCTTACACACAGTCAGAGTATTTCTCCAAAAAAAAAAAAAAAGAAAGAAAGAAAGACTCCATCGCTGTCTTTCAGAGTAAAGTCAAAGTCTGTAACTAGGGGGACCAGACAACAACAACAACAACAAAAACCCAAGCAAATATAAAAACAGGAAAACATCCAGCCCACGATAAGGACATCATTACTTGATCTGAATACAGAGGACACAAAGCATGAAGAAGAAAAGAACAAAATACAGTGAAAATCCAGTCTCAAGGATGGAGGTTGGGATTAGCTGGGAAAAAATATATCATTGAAGAACAAGATGTGACAAAAAAGGATCTTATTGAAGAATAGTAGCAATATAGCAGCAAGCCTGTGACCAGTAAACAGCATGCTGTGTCTACACGACTGAAGTAGAGAACTCAACATTTGTGTTATCAGCACTAAGTTACCGGTTCAAACAGCACCATGTGGGCTGCAATGGAGAAAGTTAACTCCATTCAGACAGACCCAAAACACATACGCTTCCATTTGCTACTTTAAAAGCAAGTGGAAGTTGTCAGTTTATTCTAATCTAGAAAATTCACTCCTCTCTTTCAAGAATTTCAGGTGACAATGCAATCTTTGCTGCCAGTAGGATGATACACGAAGCTCTGCAGTCAAAGCATCAACAAGCACAGGAAACTATGGCACTTTGTGCACTCCATCTCTTAAAATAGACATGTTCACATTCACAAATCATGACAGTTTTAGCTCATCTTTTGGACATTTTGCTGGGTTCCATAAGAAAGGAAAGAAACAAAAGAGCAGTAGTGGTATTCAGAACTAGAGGATGCATTTCCTCTTCAGGATTATATTACTAGCTTCAGCTCTAGCCTACTTCAAAGAGCAAGACTGCAAATAATTACATTAAGTGCTTCTCTTGTGTGTAAAAAGAAAAAAAACACCCTCAAATCTCTTCAATTACAGCTTTTGTAATTAACGTTATGAGAAATACATCTAAATACACAATGAATTGAACTGAAGGTGCTCAAATCACAGAATGTAAAGTTCTATTCTGCATAACCTCCTCAAAAGAGACAAAACTCTAGAAAAATTCCACCAATTTGTGCCAAACCAAGGAGGTTTTTTTAATAAAAGTAGGATTTCATGACTGTAAGACATCTCCTGTATCACACGCTTGATGGCACAGCCAGTGACCAACAGCCAGCTTCACTCCTGTCCAAAAAGTAAGGCTGACCAATGTTTCTGCCAACAGTAACAAAACATCACTGAAAGCACTCAATCTGCAGAACTTGCTGAGGTGACTATGTAGCAGACATCAATACAAGATGCACACAAGTTTTACCATGCACTTCTACTACTCAAGGAAGGAGCCTTAAGGAGTAAGTAGCACTGCCTAACCTAAAAGTACATAGTCCTACAGCTCAGTAGAGAAAGCCACAAAATGACAGGCAATATAATTGTTAAAGAGACAAGCTAACAGGATGACCAGTCTAATAAAGACTTACTATGATATCAGCTAAGGGTTGCAGCTGGGTAGAAACAGAACGATATTCAATATTGCATTTAACGCACTTGGGAACCAGCAACAGTGTCCTGTAAAAGCACTTAAAAGCCATAATTTGATTCGAGTTGCCTTTCCTTAACATCTGAGAACACTACAGTACAGACAATTAATATTAATTAATATTTGACAGTCTTATATTGCCTCAAAGACATCAAAAGATACAGTGAGCATTCCACATTTTATCACAGTAAACTGACTGTAGATAAACTAAAGACTGAAATTCTGTTTTATATTCTGTTCTTTTGGAATCCCAAGGGAGGCAGAAAGGAATCATTTCTTTATAAAAACTTTGCCTGGGACCAAATTTTCTGTGCTGGGACTTCCAAGAGAATCTGCTTAGTGAGACACACAATGCAGGTCAATACAGAGCAAGAGCCAGGGGCCCTATTAGCAGGAATACAAGGCATCCTGAGATAAACCCTCAAATGAGGAAGAAGGTGATGGATAGTTTCCTTTTTGGTTTTCAAATATGCAGAACTCTCTTGGATTGTCTGCAGACATAACATTTCCACACGACATATCTGTAGATTAGATTGTAACCAAAGTCTTCATGAAATGTCTACAAACATTCTGGGATAAAATAGCAAGATAAAATTTTGGCTTAATACAGCAACCTCGTCTCTTTTCATTTCTTCTAATTATATGCAAAATATGACAATGGTTTAAGAGAAGACTTGACAGTGAGACAATGCTTAGCTCACAAGAGTGAAACGAGTTCTGGAATTTCCTTCTGAAGAGGGAAAAAAACCCAAACAACTCCAGAACAATAATCTAACAGGGAGGTCTGAGTCACTTACTCCAATACAAACAGAAAGAGACAACTTCAAAAACCAGGACATTTCCTGCTGTTCCAGAGTGAAAGATGTAGCTTTGCCACTGAACTGTGAGCAAAACGCAGCATTTACTTCCCTTTACTTTCAGGCCTTCATAAAAGCAGGGTGCATTTTAAATATTTCTGTGCCTTTATTTGTCTTGCTTCAGCTCCAAATCTAAAGAACTCTCAGTCATCAACAGAAAAAGCCCAACCTGTTTAATAACTTTTATAGCCCAAGAATTTGTGTTTCTCTTCTCTCATTCCACTTCTGCGAACATTTTCCTTATGGGACTGACTGAGTAAAGAAAAAAAACAACAACCTAATCTCTCTGTGATCAAATTGCAAGCTAATAAATTACAAATGGAAACCCAATTGTAAGGATCCAGTCTAACAATGCCTATTCTGCTCCCTTGAAACAAAATATTATCAGCAGTGGATCACACAGGCCAGTTCAGAGAGGTTACCCAGCTACACAGGCTAATGTGTAATGACATAAGAGGTCAATACAGAAGTACTGCAAGCCAATTTAATCTATTGTCCTACACTTTTTCCCCCTGGTTAAGGTAGCAAATCATGACAGGATTATTCAGTGACTCAGTTGTGGTTTAACCCGGCAGCAGCTCAGTACCTCACAGCCATTCACACAATCCACCCCACTCGAGTGGGATAAGGGAAAGAATTGGAAACAAAACAACTGGTGGGTTGAGATGAAACATCATTTCCTAACATAGAAGACAAAAACGAAAGCAAAAATGCAATGGTAACAATATATATAGCCACAATGCAATTACTTCCCACATACCAACCAATGCTCACCACCAATACACCACGAAGTGCACAATTAACTCTGTTTCAGATGAAATCAGGACATAATCATATAAACACTGACCTTGTAAAGAGACAAATTAAAACCTGTGCTTGCAGCTATTCCTCATAGAAAAGCAATTATCTGATTTATTTTAAAAAGGTAAAAATTGGTCCAAAATGATGGTGCAATAAGGAAGAGAAAAAATCTGCCTAAAAATGAAATGAAGGTAAATGTAAGATCTTAATAAGTTCTCTATTGCATGTAAAAAGCCACGACAAGGTCTTAGGCTTCTTATAGACTGCTTTCTGGAAAGCTATTAAATCCTTAAGTAATGATTACTTCAAAATATAAAATTAAAAATATGTCAAGTAAAAAAGTGCAAACTGCAGGAGCATTCAATACCTGCATAACTCATATAGCAACTGCAGGAAAACTCTTTTCTCCACTGAAACAAGGATGCAAAAAAATTAAAATTACTTAGACTGGTGATAACAGAACAGAAACTATGAGGATTCCCAACCAAAGCTATTTACAGGACAACTTAGACCTTTGGAAACAGATTCTAAACACAAGCATGAAGAGAGTAAGAAATAAAGCATTTAAGAGTAAGGTCTCAATCAGTAAGGCTCTGCAGCACCCACATAACTAAGGCACTTTATGGGAAATGCCTGTAGGACACAATCTGAACAGTGGGACCTTTTTATTTATCTATTAAGTACAAAGATGATTCTATTTTCCTGGCCTTCAGTGCAGAAGGTGCAGCACATGCAGTCCTAAGAACTAAGATAAGCACACAAGCTTACCTGGGGACACTTAAATATATGCTGGCTACTACTTTCTCTTTCGATCTGAGCATGCAGAGTAACCAACTTTATTTTCTCATTGATTTTATTCTCCCCGTGATCCATTTCTCTGAAGAAGGTATGAAAAGCATTGTCAATATGAACACCAAAATGAACTCAGCAGCCAATACTCACACTGCGCACTGAAAATGCCTTTTTCATCTTTTGGAGAACACACAAAAGCAAAAGCCAAAATGTTCACCAACTTATTTCAAAACTATTATTTAAACATATTTGAACAAAGAAGAATCTGTGACAGATACAGAATTTTTTGAACTACAAAAGCATCTTTTACAAATTAGTATTAAACATATTTTGGAAAATCTATTCCATTTGGCTGTTTTAACACTGCAAGGAAAAAAAAATCCAACTGTTTGTTGTTTGAAATTCAACATTTAAAACCACCAACTGTATCCCCACAAAGACTTCCTGAATCTTCAGCTGCTCTAAGTATTTCAAGAACATCTCTGTGACCCTATGGACTCGTATTCCTGCTTTACTATTACAGGGATGTCAATTTCATCTCCACCATAACACAAATTGTAAAGTATTTTTAAAAAGTAAGCAAAATGGGAAACCGTTGACAGAAAGTTTCACACCACTTCATGTTAACACATTGGTTGGCATTCAAATGCAATCAGATGCAAGTTCATATGGATGTTTGCCAGCTCTTATGCCTGGACTCAAAATAACTCTTGGTTTTCAAATTTCAGAGGGAAATAAGCAACAAGCCTTGCAATTATTCTACTTTTTGTAATATTCTTGGCTACTGCAGCCACTAAAATAGACAGGTAAATGAAAGAAACAAGCAGTGTGTTCAGGTGGCCAAGAAGGCCAATGGCATCCTGGCTTGTACCAGGAATGATGTGGTGAGCAGGACTAGGGAAGTCATTCTGCTCCTGTACTCAGTGCTGGTGAGGCCTCACCTCGAGTACTGTGTTCAGTTCTGGGCACGTCAGCACAGAGGTATTTCTGATTCTCAAAGAATTAGAAAAGACAGCCAAGGGGTATTAACGTTTTAAATAGCCAAAACAATATTCTGCAGAACTTGTTTTTATTAGAGCCCTTAATCAATGCCTTCAACAATTAATAATTTTAAGGGCTCATGCATGCAAGTATACTTACATGAACTACTTACAGGTAATCAGTGCCATATCCAATATTAAATGCTTGCCTGATTAAGCTATACAACATGGTTAGTTTAGAAAGGAGTCTAATTTCACCTTATTGGTTCTTTTAAAATCTAATCTTCCATACAGACTAGAGCCTGGGGCTTTCAGCATTTAGCAGTGTACTGTTAAGGAACATGTTCAGTCTTGGTAAACACCATCTATGCATCTATACAATATTGAAAATGCACAGATAACACTTCATAGTCATTTCCATGTGACCAATAGATGGCTAATCAATCATGTTCTGTTTTTACAGAAAAAAAAAAAAAAAAGTTATGCTTTACTGGTGAAGATACTGCTCATGTGAACCTCAAGGAAGCAATCAGCCCGACAGGTAGGGTGAACTATAGGGCTGACTAATTGGTTGCTAAAAAGAAAAGAGCATCAGTAAAGAAGAATGGGGATTTTCATTCACCAGACTTTACTACAACTGTTCAAGTAGCTAAGTGTACATTATGAATTTGCAAACAAAGTCTACACCAGTGATATAAGTGGAAGTCATTAAAGGACCTGATAAGAAGTTGAGCACAGTTTGCTGAGCATCCACTGAGTGAAAAACACTAGTCCTACCACCTAAAGAGGTACAACAGAAAATCTGAAGACAGAGATTCCAGATCAGAACAACTGTTTTAATTGTCAAAACATCACACTAAGAGCCCAAGATCATAACATAATGAATTGTGATGTTTGCAAAAAAAGATGAAAACTCTCATACCCTTACATAACTTTTTCTACCAAAGCTTCAGAGCTATTGAGTTGGTTGGGAATCACAGTCACACATGACTAATGAAATTAGTTCATGAAATACAAAAGAAACTTTCAACACTCCCATAGTTTCATTAACAAATTTTGAAAACTGACTGTGAAGGGTCAAGAAGCATTCTCATCTCACATCATGTCTTGAAATACTCACAATATGTATTTCTACTGATGGTAAGAAGCATCTTCTGTCTCGAACTGATCAACATTTCATCATCTTAAGTTTTGGTATGATAGCTCAAGGATATCAATGACCATCTAACTATACCTAGCAATTATGTGGCCTATATACACAACTATGCAGCTGGTATGCTTTTGTGCAAGAAACTCAAGGCTGTAATTAAGCTCTTACATAACATCAATAACAACTTTATTTGCCTACAAGGGTATATGAATGGGGCAGTACAGAAAAGGAAGGCTCATGAATTTTCTTGTTGTTAAAATTACAAAAAAGAAATGGGGGCTTGCATGTTTGCTTTTTTGTCATTGTGTTTGTTAGTTTTCTTTTTAAAGTCGATGATCAAGCTCTTTTGTGCTAGGTATATTAACTGGAGTTGAAGAAGAACGTTATTGCTTTGGGAAAAAAAAAAAAAAAGAAACTGAAAACCAGCTCCATCTTTTTAAGAGATTCAATCATTCAGGGAAAAAAATGTCAGCCCAGCATAGCATTTCAAAGCATTTCAAATGGAAATACCAGTGTTATTTACTATAATAACAATTGTCTTTTTTTTTAACCTGCTGTGATCTTAAATTATATTTGGTTTTTATGATGATTTCAATTCATGCTAGAATAGATTTTGTTCCATTCTTTCCTATCTAATGGGAATAATACAGACCACTTACTGGGATATTTTCTTCTTACACTTTAAAAAATAATCAGAATGGTGTACATTTATATATATTTATATACACACACAAAAATAGCTGTCTGAATCACACAGATATGTCAGGCATCCCAATTTTACTTCCCAGAAGGCTAACATAATACTCTGCTACACCTGTAGAAGACACCTCAGATTTGCACATAAACTATTTCCTCGAGATTTACAAATCAAAGAGAATAATGTAAAATGAACTCATTCACAATTAACTACAGCTCTCTGCTATGAAAAATAACATCCAACACAAACAAAAAGTATCCCAATAGACACATAACGCTCATTCAGCTTCTTTTCCCCTGCATTACACACAGAGTATTTTCTAAGCAAGTTCTGGTGCTCTTTGGCCACTTGGTACAAATTACTGATTCTTGAAGACAACAAAATCACAGAATCATAGGGGTTGGAAAGGACCTCTGGAGATCATTGAGTTCAACCCCCCTGCTAAAGCAGGTTCCCTACAGTACATCACACAGGAAAGCACAGAAGAAATATCTCCAAAGGAGATATCCCTGGGCAGCCTGTTCCAGTGCTCAATTACAAACAAGAGTTTGTTTTTTTTCTAGATGTGTTTCACCATCTTTTAAAACAATATTCACTACAAAGAAGTATTATATGCAATAAAATGTTTTACACATTATACTTATTTATTATTTCAAAGGTATTTAGCAACGCAATTAAAATAATGGCTTAACCTAGTCATAGCTTTAAGAAGTTATATCTTCACATAATCTTCAAGTCAATTGGATTAAAATGTAATCTTTCACAGTTATGAAGTTAACTTCGAAAAATGAGGAACAGAGGTTTCTTTAAATGTGCTTTTCTTCATCAAAGCCGCATTGATCCCATACTATAGGAACATGGCAGACACTTCTGTAGTATTCAACACTTTTAAAGGAGGCCCAAACATAAAGAGAGAGAATGCTTACCTTCGGTGGTTTTCTAGAAGACGGGGAAAAAGTCAGCAACAATGAGGTGAAGAATGAGTTGACCATTCACATAAATGGAAGGCAGCAGAAAAAGAAAAGAAATAAAAACAGTCAGCACACTTCATTACCATAATCTGAACGTTTTTTTTTGTAACCCACGATGTTTTTAAGAATAATCAAATCAGAAGAAATCAGGAGATACTTACAGAATATAGCATAGATTGTTTAACAAGCATCAGTAGTTCCTTAATCATTAATATAATCATAGATTAAAAAGAGAGGAAAAAAAAATGTAACATTTCTTACAGCTATAAAATCTAACAGCACTGAGTTTAAAAATGAAAACAAGCATTCTTTGTCTTTGCCATGGAAGTCAAATCACTTCCATTTTGTGGTAAGCTAAAACAGCCTACAGATTGATAGATAAAAGCATTGGGGCAAAGCCCCTCTGACTTCAGTAGTGCTACACAACCAAGAACAAGGTAGGAGTCAAACAGTTGTCTCTCACAGTTTATAGAAATGTATAGAAACCTGTATTATCCCTGGCCACTGAAAGCCTATGCAGAGCATGGCAAACCAAAGCAAAAACACCATTATCCTTCAGGCACAGCTCCAACTGGTGCTGTCATAAATGGTGTAGAGGTAACAAATTTCAAACTGAGGATACCAATGTAGAGTACTTTGACTTGCCCTTCAATGTTTTATGTTTACCCTGGCAGCCATGTGGTCACACAGTAAATTCAATAGTTTGTTGGGTTTTTTTGGAGGGACTGGTCACAACCACTGACATGTCTCACTAAGCAACCCTGTGCTTGCTAATGCCAGTGCAAGAGCAGAGCCAAAGATAAGATACAGAATTAAGTTGGTTTAGGCCACTCATGAAAACTACAATCTTATGCATAGCTTTAAATTAATCTGAAGTGACGCACTATAGAAACACATGAGACCAAGCCCTGCTTTCCCCCATCAAATCACAGACACAAACTCCAGAAAGACGGGGAAATAACACTTTGAACTGTCTGTCTACTGCCCCACAGCATGGAGCTCAGCAAAAAAGGCTGAAAGAAAGTCAAACACAAACACATCTTACACAATCTTTTCTGCCTACTCTCAGCTCATACCTCAGATGACACATCTGACTAAACCAGAATTACATAGCTGGCACATAACAGTGGTATAATGCAAATACACTTTGCCTCCTAGCCAAACCACCTCCAGCAGCCTTACCCTCTTATTAACAGCAGCTGCTCACCCCATAGCAAGCTCACAGACAGGTGGCTCAGAACTTGTGCTGAAATCACTCTTATCAAGTCAAAAAAATACTATTTTGCTATACCTGGAATATTTTTTCATGTAATGAATTTCCAGATGCGATGGAAGTTCAAGTTTGTCAGCTCATCTAAGCCCAAGGTTTAGTATCAGCTCTAAACTTTCTATTCCTACATTAAAGAGATGCTGCTACTGAGGGAAGTTACCCAGACCTCTTAGAAAATGTTTTCATTTATTTCAAATGCACTCACGTCTTGAGAAATAATTCAAGAATGTAACAGCTTTCCTAGGGAATTCCATATAGGTAGCTGTTGTAGTTCAGTAGGATCCCCATTCAGTAGGGTCAACTATTAGTCAAAGAAAACAAGTGTCAACAAAAAGTTTACCAACTAGTTTTCTGTTTGATAAGCCTCATATGGATAAGGGGTACAGAACATCACTTCAGTAAACAACTCCTTTTGCACATTTTGTAACACATTTCCTTAAGCAATGCAAGCCTTTTAGGAAGTTCTCTCTCACTTTCCTCTGGTGGTCGCTCTAAGGAAAACAGAGCAGCAACTTTTTGTATCAGTGCTGGACAGCTGGAGTTCCCCCATTGGAAGCGAGATCCATTGCAGCTTCCTGGATGTCAAGGCATCAGGAGCTGCAGCTGAACTCCTCAGGCACCTGCCAGCCTCATCACTAGCAACATGAGCAAAGGCCTCTGGAAATCAGTTACCTTGCTCTAGAGGATATGATTTCTTTAAGCCACTTGAAAATTCCAGCTAAGTAAGTCACTGTAACCTTATTCTGGCAATGACTCAGATGGAGGTACAAATACTTTGTTCAGTCAAAGGACTCAGACTAATAAAAAAAATAACTGCTTACAGTTCTACTGAAATCACAGCTTAAAGTTGTCTTATAAAACGTGTTAGCCTCAATTTTCCATCAAAATATGCTGCTTTCTTTTTTTTTTTTTTTTTTTTTTTCATATGTGCTTCATAGTTTCTTCCCTGTCCCAGAAGCCAGCATCTTTTCAGCTTCACAAAAACTTGGGTTTCTCTCACTTTTTATCACACCTTGACCAAGCAGATCTGGTGATTCAGTATCACAGCTTGGGGGGGGGCGGGGAAGAGGACAGCAGATCACAGAGCTACAGCAATTGACATTCTTACTTCCCAGACTTATGCCATGTTTAAACATCAATGTTCCATCAACCACTGTGCCGATGACAACATGGAGGTATATCTTTTGAACAGTAACAAAATCTCCTCTAAACCAAGCAGCCAAGGAATATCACAGTTATCTATTCCTGTAATGTGTCTGCACAATAGCACGTTTTTGTTTAATCTGACAAAGGACAATTTATTCTCTGACATATCCAGAATTCAAAACCAAAGTAATCACCACCAAAAACCTGAAAAATATTCTCATCCTTAGGAGGAAGTGCAAATTGCAATTACCTTGAAGCCAACTGCACTATTAAACTTCCTCTTTTGTCCTGAAAAAATCATGGTATAGCAAAATGTCACTAGAATTATTTTTTAATTATGCTGAGAAGTTTACTGTGGTTTGCCCCTGGAGACCTACTCCAGCTTTATCTTCTGCAGCAGCACCAAGTCTCTCCTTTTCTGCCTGGCAAATATGAAAGATGCAGAGCTCTTGGAGTGGGTCCAGAGGAGAGCCACTAAAATGATCAGAAGGCTGGAGCACCTCTCCTATGAAGAAAGGTTGAAGGAACTGGGATTGTTTAGCCTGGAGAAGAGAAGGCTCCGGGGAGACCTCATTTGAAGGGAGCCTATCAACAGGAGGGGGAATGACTGTTTACATGGGTTGATAGTGATAGGAAAAGGGGGCATAGGGGAATAGTTTTAAACTAAGACAGAGGAAATTTAGGGTAGATATTAGGAGGAATTTTTTTTTTTTTTTACTCGGTGGTGAGGCACTGGAACAGGTTGCCCAAGGAGGTTGTGGATGCCCCATCCCTGGAGGCATTCAAGGCCAGGCTGGATGTGGCTCTGGGCAGCCTGGGCTGGTGGTTGGTGACCCTGCACACAGCAGGGGGTTGGAACTGGATGATTAGACCATTCTATGATTCTATGATAAATATGCCAAAATCTCAACTCAGAACATCTCTATCTCAAATGCACAAAATAAGGTTCAGTTCTGTTATGTGTTCAGTTCAATGTTCTGTACAACATGAATGTGAAGTCTACTTACCTGTATCAGTGTTTTCTCTCTGCCATCTACCATAAACTCTCCATGACAGCATACAATGAGATGTGTTTAATAATAAGGAATAAGCTAGCATTACATACTGTGACCAGAAAACTAGCGCTGTTTAACAGGGAGCAATAGAAGACATTCCTTCACTGTGGGCACCCGTGGTACTGTCACTGTAATGACAGTTGAGTTCAGAACACCACGAATGAGAATGGCTTTTGTCCCTTAGTGATGTTGTCAGCATTCCCAACCAAAAGCCACTTCGACCAGAGAAAAAGTCATCTCAAACATCAAAAAACGTGAAAGCATTCGTAAATGTTTCTCCCACCTAATCCTTCCATCTAATTATACTTCACCAGCAGCCTTTGAGAATGTCATCTGTGGCAGGGGTAAGGTGCTTTTTAAAATGATCCTGTAGGTATAAACCCAGGTATTCCACGTTTAAGGAGACAGGGGAGGAAAACGCATTTGAAAAGTAGGTCTTAGTCTCTCTGGAACGACACCCACACAACCCAATTCTTCTCCAATTGGACCATGCTAAGAAGCCAAGTAGGTCACAATTATACTATAATTACATCATATTCTGGAAAGTATTCTGTGGATTCTTTTCCTTTCTCACAATCAGCTAATGAAGACAAAGCAGTAATAACCAGCTATGTTAAGTAACCACAGGTAGTATCTATAGCAGATGATGAACCAACCACAGGGTTTCCAGCTTGCTCTTCCAAGCTGACTCCACTGCTGACTCCAGCAAAAATCATTATCCAAAACACTGACTCTGAAATGCCTTTTTGCTCTCATCGCATGTGCAATCACAGCAAATTTGCAGTAGTCACTATTTTCCCAAATATATAATTAAATGTTTATATGTAGTGGCTATACAGTCATCAAGGTAGTTTTCAGGATCACTGGCCAGAAGAATTATTAAAAACAATATCCAGTATACTAGAAAAGGGGAGAAAAATCTTTTTTTTATTTTAATAAGTTGAATGATATTCTTTCTTTCTTCTGTGCGCATAAAGATCAGCAAATTGAGATCATCCTGACGGATATAGAAAATGTTTCCACATTTATTTTTGGGCTCTCCCCGGCAGCATTTAATAGCTACAGTTTTCACATCTTGCCTTTCACATGTTCCTCACATGCAGGAGGAATATTATGTTGAGAATTCTGTAATATCAGGGAATGAATGGGCCCTTTATATGAGCCTACAACCTGACTGTTCCCAGCTATGTCAAGTTGGAACAGGTTATCAAACTTGTTATGCTTTCATGTACCTGGAAGGATATAGCTTTATACTCCTCCCATCCTCAATTTCAGCCTTTCCTTTTATTACCACCCTTCCAGCCTTTGGAACCCTAAGGACAAGTTGATCACAATAAATATAATGTTTTTTTCTGAGTGTTTTTGGTGGTGTTCTGTTGTCATTCTTTTGGTTTCTTCTGTTTTTAAATCAGATTGCCAGTAATGTAAGCCAAGAACATCCCAGAATCTGTACGTGTTTGCATCATTCAGAGGTAGATTGCAGGTGAAGTAACCAGTAGTAGGATCACCATAACAAATGCCTCTTGCTTTATTTGATCAAAGTAACTGCATTGTTTGCCTGGCTGTAAGAGTGGCTGCAGCAGAGATAGCAGACATTCAGCACTCACACCTAGGAACTGCAAGTATTGTAAGAATAGAGATGAGGGGTTTTTTTCCATTATCCCTCAGAGGAATATCCTGCAACTTTAGGACCCCCCACTGTTGAGTGGTTTATCACTGCAGGTTGTTACTTGCAGGCCTGATACTATGCATCTTAAAAAGTATGTATATGCTTTGTTAATGGGTACTACTTAATAAAAGCATGTATCTGGAAAAGGATTACAGTCTGTCATAGTAACTGTTTCAGTGATCATGTGTTGAGAAGCATTAGCAACTTCTCATTTTCTCCAAAACACAGAGAAAAAGAGATTTATTCGCCCATTTCCTCCTTCTACTCTTTAAAGGCAGGAGAAGGTCAAAGGAAATGGGGCAATGCCCTGAAAGGGAAGTGTCCTAGCTTTGTACTTGGCTGGGGCACCTCTGGTAGAGCTGGCTAATGAAAAAACCAGCATCATAATTCAGGACCAGGGTTCCCAGAACACATACTTTATATACTGTTGAACTTTTTTTTTATATATACAAATATTTTATATTTTTGCATAAGTTGGGTAGAACATACCCTGAGCCTGTTCAATCCTCCTATCCAGCAAAAGTCTGTTCTATAGAAAAAAGAATTGTGAAATACAAATATTTTAACAAGTAAAGCAGTTTGACCAAGTGCTTGCATAGTGACATAGCTGATCATAATAAGAAACATCACGAAACAAACAAACCAACACAGATGAAAACACTAAAAATAGGTTGCTCTCTAGCTTTATGAAAGCACTGTATCAAGGAACTGTGAGCTATGCACTGGTGCCCAATGGAAAGAGAGAAAAGCCAAACACTGAAATCAGTTCTGCAGAACAAGTTAAGTAAAACAGGCATTACAGTAGCAGAGTGACTATCATTGCATAAAAACACCCTCTAGAAAACGACTGGTTATTCCACCATATCAAGGTTCCACTCCAATAACCTGATCTCACTCACTGCAGCAGTGATAAAAGAAAAAAAAAAAAGAAATGCAGCACAGGTTATAAGACCAGCACAAGGTCACAAAAATAAGTGAAAGACATTTACAAGATAGAAAACAGCACCAACTGTGCTGGAACACATCTAGTCCCTAAACTACCTTTCACTACAAGTTCTGACTATTTTTACTACATTTACATCAGCAATGTATTGACATGAAGTTCAGGTAGTTCTAATTTTTACAAAAAAACCCTCAAGTTCAAGTAAAAACAACTTCTGTTGGCAGCTTGAAAAGCACCATCTAACTGCAAAAGCAAGCCACTCTGCAAACAGCCACTGGCTTAGGAATAGAGCCAGCACCCATATGCAGAAAGATTAATCCATAACTCTGATTGTTCTCTAAAGAAAATTCTGTCCACTCAGCCATCCTTCAACATAATCTTTTTTCTTTTTTCTTTTTTTTTTTTTCTTGTAAGAAAAAAAGATAGTAGTATCACCCCATTTCAGCTAATTGGCTTAGTTTTACTGAAAAAGTAAAAATTGACTCAATCAAAGTGTCGTTTTGCTCTGCAATAGAAGAAACCTTACTGCTGAGACCACTATCCAGAATTTATCACGTCAAATAATCTATTCTCCACAAGTCTTAAACACCACTCATTCAAAGCTTGTTCAAGACTAGTTATTGTAACAAGCATCTCCTACCGAAGTACAAGACAATCACAATAGTGTGCCTATATTAACATCAAAGTAAAGTAGCTCACAGCAAAATAGCAAAGGAATGTAAGATGCGGTGATTGTTATTAAAAGTAGTTGCCAAAAACTGATTCCCTAAAACTGATTATTTTCTCGCTTTTTTCAGTAAAAGTGAATGCTAAGGATTCTAAATTAGAAGATTTTTGCTAAGTAATCAATCAGGGTAAGATAAGAGAAACGAGTCATATCTCAGTAGCAGGGAGCTGTCAGCTATTAAGCTCGTCTTCAATGACTGATTCTCAGCCTGAATTGAATGAAACTTTTGTCTGGACAAACACTCTATGTTTCTGTAAAGCATGTGGAAAGGCATTCTAGCAGTGTTAATAAAGTTACCATGGCATTTATTAGGGAGCTATTATTCCAATGTTTTTGCATTTATTTCTTGCACTCACAAGGAGAAAAACGTCCTGTGCATTAACTGGCATTTCAACTCTGTGCACACACACTACGGAGAGCAACACATCAGGGTGTTAGCTGCACCCAACAACTAACTGCCCCTTATCTCTCCAATGTCAAAGGAAAACGTTCCCTTTTCATGCTCCTGCTCTGCAGAAATCTCCTTCTGGAATGCTGCCTGTACAAACCACCAAAACATTAGGCTGCACTGTACATACACCCCTTCTGCATGCAGCATTCAAAGACATTTGGAAAAATACAGAGCTTTAATTAATTGTTGAGCGTTTGTTGCAAAACAGATCACCTTCAAAGGTAGATGATGGAAACTTGCTAAGCAATGTAGTATTTCATTAATTAAATTCCACTTCAATAATAACAGACAGTTTAAAGCTCGGTATCGCAATTTGCTTCAAAGATACTAAAAGTGATTAGCAACTTGATAGATGAAGATTTCAGATGTCTCGTTAAAAAAAGAGATAACGTACTGGAAAGAATTCAACTATTGGAGTTAAGAAAGTAACCGGATCTGAATCTCAGTTGTAACCCTATGTTATAACATTTGGTTGTAAGACTATTCTTGCTGTGAGGCTCTTTCCTAGTCAAGCAGGACAAGGATTTAGCTGAGCCATTCCCCATGCAACAGCCCCAACCATTTGTTCAGACTGGCCAAGGCACAACCCACAGATTTCACTGTCACATTCCATCATCACACCAGGGAAAATCATCATGCAAATTTAATCTAATTTATGTT